TTCCTCTTACGTTAAATTATTGTATTAGTGTTTGGTACTCGCGGTCAGTTATAGTAATACATTTCGCAAATTTTGTAAATTTTGTAGGTGCTTCAATCTAGCCACGCCCTCAATCAGGGAAAATAGGGAATAAGTTGGCGTTTAATCACGTAAAAAATGAGCCCCTAAAAGTAGGCAACCCTAATGTTCCGCCCCAAAAATTGGCCGTAAAGGTAGGTAGGTACGCCTTAAAGGTAGGTAGCAGTCACCTCAGTCACCACCGTCTCCAGATACGATGGGCGCCACTGGGCCGCATTAGAATTCACGTAGGAATGCGGTGTATTTTTTGGAGCCCTTTATTCTAGTGAACTGGTCGGAGGCCATGATAAATTTGCCCCAGATTTGAGAAAATCCTCTATTACCAACTTGAGTTGGTTGAGTTTAACGGTGAGTTTAAGCACCCAGAAGACCGTTTAGTTCAGAGAAGGGTGAGGGTGAATAAGGCCGTTCAGGTGTGTACACGGCGCAGGTTTGCAGTGTACCTGCTCCTGGGGCTCCCCCGAGGGGCGGACGGAATGTCCGGCGGCGCCCCGCTCGGCCCCCGCGATTCGTCAGGAGGAAGTCATCGTTTTGGTGCAAGTGGGTAATGGCGCGACCTCGGTCGTCTCTGTGTGCCGAGCCGAGGCGCGGGCCGGGCCGGACCGGGCTGCAGGGCCGAGCCGAGCCGGGCCATCAGGGTGGAGCCGAGCCCAGCACCGCTCGCTCTGGCCTTCGCATATATGCAAGATTCCTTGAAAGGCGAGTGGACATATTTTTGGAGAGGCCGCTCGCGCGCGTTGTATATGTGTTTATGCTGCTGCGATTTTCCCCGCGAGGCCGATGCGCCGGAGCAACAGCCGCGACTGACTAGACTGGGGGTCTTGTCTAAAGTGTGTGAGGAGGACAAAGTCCTGGAGCTGGACTAGTGGGACAATGCCAAAACATCATTGAAATGAGATCAATAAGTACACAAAGATACTCCAGTTGCCCCCCCGCCCGCTTGATGTACGTATTGCTGTGGTGATGTTCGGTAAAGTGTGCTGATCAACCCGATATTTTCGGTTATTTTTATTAATTTATTTCGGTTATTTATTTTTTGTTTTAGTATTGCCAGTCGTAGTTTTGAAATGCAGGTCTTCTGTTTCTATTGTTAGCGATTTGGTTATTTCTTGGCTGACCACCGCGACGGTGAAATCCATTGTGGCCCATGTACTCTGCGTGTTGCAGCGCCCGGTACTCCTGGAAGGAGGGGGAGCAAATCAAAAAGAATTGCATTACTTTTCAACTTGGGTGACCAGGGTGGGTGACCAGTAGCCAGCGCCGTTGGGGTGAATTGATATACTAGCTTATAGCCGCTCACCCGTACTTAAAGACGTTCACAGGCCTTATCAGGCAAATAATTACACTTTGATTTGGTTAGTACGCTTACCGTGCCACTAATGGTCAGAAAATACTGATTTCCGGTGTTCTGTCCCCAAAGATAGAAACAAATCAATAATAAGAATAAACAATTTAGGGACAGATCTGAGTCTGAGCGTGGGTGCGAGCTGGGGATTGCGCTCTGAGTCGCTGTAGAATTATAATCTTCGTTTGGTGCATTCGGGGTCCAGACCGCGGTCGCGGTGGTTGTCGCAGTATCTTGCCATGCATAGAAAAAAATTGATTTCTGTAAATCTGGTATGACTTGTACGCGATATCATAAGGTCAAGGCCGATCAGCAAGAGACTTACATTCCTCCTCGCTCGAACTAGGCCCTAGTGTGACATGCATGGTGACGACAAACATAATGCTAAACAAGAGAATTATGACCTCGACCGCAGTACTAACACAACACAGCTCTACAACAAATAAAATAAATTAATGTTTTAACTACTGGGTTTATCAGTGCGGACGCCGCAGTATTGTTGGGTTGCATCATCCTCTCTTGTGCCGCAGGGGCCATTCACGGTAAAAATGACATCTTGGATTTCAAGCGATCTACTTGGTTTTCAAGGCAGTTTTCAAGGAATCTACTTGAATTCCAAGATATTCTTTTTACCGTGTTGTGCCCTTTGAGCGTAGGGGAGTTAGGCAAACCGGCAACCTTGCCGGCAACACTGTGGCGTCCGCTCTGATACACCCGGTATACTAATTTGTTTGAGTGCTTCGACGTTCGACGTCTTACCATTCCAAAGATCAAGAGCGACGGTGGCGTGAAGCTCGGGCTGCTGCCCCGGTCTTTGCGCATCGTGTAGGTGCTGCTGGTCCTGGGTGGCGGCCGGCGGCAGCAATGCTTGTTGGTCGTGCGCCCGGCCCTGGACGACTGGTGGAAGCCTGCTGCGAGCCACGACTTGGGTGACAGGCCCATGGAAATGCGTGTGCGTGCTGCTGCCGAGGTACACCCCCGAGGAGTTCTTCAACGCGATGTTTCCGAACGTCTCACCGGCGCCGATGCTCGACGGCGACAACGACGTGCTGGTGCCGCTGGTGGTCCAGGTGTCGGCGCTGTCCCGGTCGTCGTTGTCGCGGCCGGCATGGCCACCGCCGGTGTCCGCCGACCGGCCACGGCGGAAAAGGCGCCTTACAAACTGCAATTTTTTACCCATGAACTGCGACTTACTTGACACGCTCAGCTCGGCTGTCGGAGCGCGACTAAGGGGCAAGTGCAGTTGGCGGCGTGCAGCCTGTCGCCGGTCGCGAGCGATAACAGCTGTAACCTCGCCCATGCGCAATAAGGGAAATGAGGGCTCGGGTCGTGTTGGTGGTACTGGTTAGCCTATCCGCCACAAAGTTTTAGGCGAAATAATTCTGAAATAATTTTACAGAAGCGAAAGTCGCGGCAGCTCAAAAAGCGCTTCCGTTAAATGAGCACGATTGTGAGCACATCTGTATTCAACGGGTTATTCGTGTAAGAAACGAAAAGAAAAGTGTCCTTGGTAATACGCGGGAACGGAAAACGTTATGCAAAACCGATTAACCCAAATCATACTTGAACTATTAGAATTAAGGTTTTCGACCATCTAGTTTGCCATGCCGCCCGGCGCACAGTGCGGCAGATCTCGAAAAAGGTGGACATATTCAAAATTTTCACTTTGTCATACTAACTATTTTGTCTGTCCAGGGCGAATCTACAATGTTCGAAGCATCTAAAACGGTTACTCTCATATTTTTAAGCCATCAGATTTTTTCTCTATAAGCCCTCAAAAGTGAGTCATCAGAAGTAGGGCTGTGCGATTAATCGATTCATCGAAATCGTCTTCGACTTTTTTGTCCATCGACGATGAATTTTGACATTTCGATTCCGATGACCGACATCGATCATCGACTTGGACTTATGGCAAATCGATGGCCGATGCAGGCGCATCGCAATCGACAACAATCGCGATGATTATGGTCATCGACCGATTACGATGAATTTCGATCATCGCACAGGCCTAATCAGAAGCGCAATCAGCGCGCTCCTTCCCGCGCAAATTACACGTATTTTACTACCTAATTTCCATTAAACAGGAGCCTAAATGTAAAATCAAAG